GTGCTGAAGGTAACTGTTTGCACTGGAGAGACAACAGTGACGGTAATAGGCACAGCAGAGCTGACGATCGCGCCACAGCCATCGTCTCTAGGGCCAAGATGAGGGGCCGCAAGGGTAAGCCCGATGAAAAGGGACAAGAGTTGCGGCTGCATTGTGATGTGAAGCAAGGAGGGCAATCAAAGAGATGGAGTTTAGGCAAAGGAATGAAGAGCCGATATAAGGTAGATTGTTGAGACTTGGGGACTGATGAATCTGACTGGCCTCAGAATGTGTTTGGATACGACAGTCTATATAGTTTGCCGTACATGATCATTGTTGTTTTCCCTTATCAACAGCTCAACGCGGACAACTTCCTTAGCAATCAGAAATTGTCTGTATCCGGCTCTCGATGGTTCTGCAGCCAACGAGGCCCAGCCGACGATATCTTGTGATGTTTCTTTGCACTTTCACTCCATTCCGACTGCGTAAGATTTGACGGACTGGGAAAGGTCAACATTTGCAATTGACAGCAATCCTGGACTTTTGAAGCGGGGGATGGCCTGAGAGATTCGACTCGAAATTCTCATGTCCATACATAGAACTCGATGCGGATGGGATGAAGTGAATGTTGTGACATCGCGCCAGATGTGAGGTATTATTTTGTAGCTCAAGCGCCGCATGGGGTGTTCTAGACCGTTTTCAAACAGAAATGAGGATCTTCGTCTTGGACCCTTCTCTTGGTAGCTGGATGTCGAATGATTGGTGTTTTGGGTGGTGGAGTGATGTTCAGCCGGGATGATGCCAGGGAGGGCAGAGCAATCCTTGTGTCTCTCAATTTCAGCTTCGATCTTGGCCCACAACATACTCGACCCTCGGCAACGACGGCCGGTACTGGACAACGCACCGCGTTGTTATTAGACATTGGGAAAACATCTTCCCAAGAGGGAAAGTGTAGGATATGACACCAAGGGCTGAGAATAAGACGTCAAGCTGTAGTAGTCAAGATCATGCTGTTTTCATCACCAAAAGCGCGTCTAGACTCAGAGCATGCACGTTCTTGGTCCCTGGTATACGAGAGCGGGGCTTCCGTAGCGCTCGTATGATGTGTAGATATCTGTAAATTCCTATGCTCTAGCCGAGATGCTGTGAATAGGTTACTTGGCTACGGTGGCAGCTGAGTGTCGTTCTCCGCATGCGTTCCAGTTCAATCATGTTCGACTCTATGGCTTCACAAGACGGAATGCAATAGATAAGACATACTGAGTGAGTTCCATTTTGTATCAGCTGCGCGAGTGCATGATCGCTTTCTTGATATCCATATATAAACTACATGAAGTCTCGAGAAGATTGAGAATAACATCATCACTATCTTCTCCTCTTTTGTATCTTGTCATTCACTTGAATCCCTGCAACTTCAGCAAACACCTTCTTCACCTCTCTTTCTAAAATGCGTGCTTCAAGAAAAGGAGCGCTTGTCACTGCCCTAACTTCGGCCCTGGCCCTGGAGCCTGTGTCGGCTACCTCTAGCTGCCTTGCTCCCACCGGAGACCCTGTGACTGTTCAGGCCTACGTAATGGTCGAGCAGATTCCTGTTCATCTCAGCGCCGATATCTGTTCCAACACAACGTTGAGTGTTGCCGGCACTGTCCTGTCCATCACCAACGCCCCGACTTTCCTTGTGTCGGACTTTGTGGTCACCAGTACCATCACTCACACCTCTACTGTGTAAGCCCGTTTCTAACCTTCCCTTATGGCTACTTCCTCGGACCATACTAACGACCGCTTTGTCTCAGAAACTCTTTCTCTACATTCGATGGTCCCTGCGCTACACTTACTGCTCATGGTGGCCCTGATTCTGAGCCTACCACCATTGTCATCCCCCCTAAGGCCGGCGATGAGGTCGGAACAAAGGTTATCTGTACTCCCGTGGCCACGGACAATGCTGCCTTCTCCGGCCCCTACACGACTATTACTGCAGGTCAGTGGTCTGGCCAGGGCACGAAGACTCTGACTTTGGCGCCGGCTGGGGGTGATCCAACAGGCACCGTCATTGTCTTCGCTCCCGAAGCATCTGGACAGGTCGGGGCCCAGGGTGTCTTCACGGGGCCCTATACCACACTCACCGAGGCCTGGGCAGGAAGCACTGCGACGACTGTCACTCTCCCGCCCCGAGGTACCGATAAGACAGGCACCCAAATTGTTCTAAGCCCTACTGCGGCACCAGCTCTCTTCACCGGGCCTTACACGACGATCACTGGCACTTGGACGGGACTCCAGCCAACAACCCTGTCTTTAGCGCCTGAGGGAAGTGACCCAACTGGAACTGCTATTGTCTTCCTGCCGACATCCGCGGGCTTGAGCTCCTTCACTGGCCCTTACACCACAGTCACCGGAGCCTGGACTGGCGCAATTCCTACAACCGCCTACCTCCCACCTCAGGGAACTGATCAAGTCGGAACTGAAATTGTGTTGACGCCTACCTCCTCCCCAATCATCACCCCATTCACTGGACCATACACAACCATCTTTGGGCCCTGGACCGGAACAGTTCCGACCACTGCCATCCTCGCGCCTCAAGGGACTGACCAGGTCGGAACTCAAATCGTCTTGACACCCACTTCTGTGGCTGGTTCATTCACTGGGCCATACACGACTCTGACTGGCCCCTGGACCGGGACTATTCCTACCACGGTGACCCTAGCTCCGGCTGGAACAGACGCTACCGGAACTCAAATCGTTCTCGTTCCCACAACCGCCGCCACATCCTTCACTGGCCCTTACACAACTCTGACCGGACCATGGACTGGTACTATTCCAACTACAGTTACGCTTGCTCCGTCTGGAACCGATGCCACTGGAACTCAGCTCGTGCTTCTGCCTACCGCCGCTGAGGCTACCTTCACGGGCCCTTACACGACTATCAGCGGTCCTTGGACTGGCACTGTCGCCTCCACGCTGTCCATCGCTCCTACTGGCACCGCTACTGTTGGCACCGTCATCATCTTCACTCCGGCTGACCCTACGACTTCTGCAAGTGTCAGTTCCGGGGCTTCAAGCACAGCTCCGTCTCCATCGTCGGCTACCTCATCAGATCCAGCCACGAGCTCCAGTGAGACGTCCACTTCTGCGAGCTCGACCGCTGTGATAGAAACCACTACCTCTACGGACACAAGCAGTTTCTCGCAAACTCCTTCAAGCGCTGCTTCTAGCTCCCAAGAGTCAACTACCGCCTCCTCTTCGCCTTCTGAATCGTCAAGCTCAACCTCTACCGACCCTAGCAGTTCCACCTCGTCTTCAACTACCACATCGACTGAGCCTGCTACATCTTCATCTTCCTCAAGCACAAGTTCTGAGTCTTTAAGCGCAACTCCTTCTTCATCTAGCTCTTCAACCGAGTCGTCCTCGAGCGTGACTTCGTCCTCATCTAGCGCGTCAAGCTCATCGACCGAGTCTTCTTCAAGCTCATCCTCCTCGTCGTCGTCTAGCTCGTCCTCTGAGTCTTCATCTAGCACGCTGACAGGGACTCCAACAACCACAACCTCGCAGAGCTCCACAGTTTCCGCATGCGTCGTGACCGCAACGAGCACCTCAGAATACTGCAACGTTGCCCTGCCCGGAGCCTGTGCCTCACTCTCCACCACCAGCGGTCTCGCTCTCGTGCCGGTTGTGGCATCTTGCACTGTGGCCCTTGGTCCATACGCAGCAGGCAACGTTGCAACATGTCTTGCAACCAACGTGGGCCTCACTACTGCCGGCTCTGACATCGCAAGCTGCATTCTCACCGCTCTTGAGGGGCGTTGTATTTCAACCCTGCCGACAGCGTGTACTGATCTAGCGTCGTCCAACGGTCTGGCTCTTGTCGCAGATGTGGCCCAGTGCACTATTGCCCTTGGTCCCTTCGCCGCTGGTAGTGCTGCGACCTGTCTTGCAACGGGAACCATCACAGCATCTACTACGGGCACGAGCATTATTCAGTGTCTCGAAATTGCCTTTGGCCTCCAATCTGGCGTGGTCACAATCACCAACTCCGCCTACTGCCCGACTGCCACTGCAACCCCTACGCCTTTGGTCTGCGCCACGGTCCCTGAGCCTTGCCAGAGTCTCGCCTCTGTCAACGGCATTGCCCTTATTGCGGCAATTCCGGTGTGTACGGCAGCCCTTGGCGCTTACGGTGTTGGAAATGCGGCAACCTGTCTTGCTACTGATGTCATTGGCCCTCTGAGTGTTGGACAGGATATTGTGACCTGCCTGACGACTGCTCTCAGTACGCAGTGCATCTCGACTTTGCCGGAGCCTTGTCTCGCCCTGGCAGGTGATACTGCAGCGGAGCTGGTTGTCGACCTGCCGTTGTGCACAGCTGCCCTTGGTCCATTCGCTGTTGGAGCTGCCCTTACTTGCTTGTCCTCGACCGCTACCAACGGAGACTCGGTTGTGGCCTGCCTCAATACCGCTTTGTTCCAGACGTAAGTTTGAATCTGTGGTAAGTCGAATGATTAAGGATTGAGTATGGGGTTCCCAAGACTACATGTGGTGTAGTATCAGGCTAGGTGCTTGGAGTCAGGCTTGCAAAGAGACTGAGACTTCTTCATCAAGATAGTGAAAAGGGTTGCGAAACGAATGGATGTCAGGCGATTATGTTGTGGCCGCTTTTACTTCTTAGCACAGTTGTTTGTTGTACTTGACTACTTTATTCTAATGATATTCTCTTCCAACTTTCCATGGTCTACGAAGTACGGGAAAGATACATGTAGTTATCACTCGGTCTGAATCAGAAAAAGGGCTTCCCCGGCAGCCTGAGTACTACGAAAAATTCCCTCGGAGCTGGAAGCTTGCCTCTAGATTGATTTGAGTATGAATTTAGATGGAATCTGTCGTCATCAAGGCTCTTCATTCCGGAATTGGATATCTTGGATACAATCGCAGTAATCTAGTCTCTTATCATGACGATAGACTATTCGTCTCGCAACAGACCCGAGGTGCCAATTCCTTCCGCCAGACTGACAATGTTGAAGATGTGCTCATCAAATAGCGATGCTCCACTGAATGCCCTTGCGAAGAGTTCCATCATTGTCATGTCCTCCAAATGCTTGCCACGTGTCCAAGCACATATCGATAGACTGCTCGCTGCTGGTATTTTGGTCGGCTACAACAGCCTTTCGAGTGACACCTTTGTGCGTCATCGTGATTACTTTGCCGCAGAGCCTGTTGTTCTGCGCTTGACCGTACGGCTCGAAAATGCCGGACGGCATCGCGACTAGTGGGAGGCTGCGGTCGACCGAGTTGGCAAAGTAGGTACTGAGACCACAGGCGCCGTTTCTCCAGAAAATGTTGCGGCAGGCAGTTGCGTCCCCGAACATGAAGATAGAGCCTTTCGTGTGAGAGCCTGAGACTGCCTCGCCGGCGACGGCCTGAGACACACCCAGGACAAGAAGACTCGGGAGTAACGAAGAGAGCATCTTGCAAGAACTGTATACAGGCAGTCGACCGTGACTTTTGAATTCAATGTGTATGGCGAAGTCAAAGGTGCTATTGGTGTGGCTGAAAGGACTGATTTGGGAGAAAGCCTGATGGGAAAGAATCATGTAAACTGGGCGTAAGGCTTGATAATAAGTAATCTGTCCGTGATACTCGGCTGAAAACATGCCAAGCTTTCACTTCTGCTCTTCGATTCCAGAGCGATGAGTGATACTCTCTTGCACGTTCGGCCACTGTTGATAGAGAACTGGTGATCGTCCACTAACTCTCGATGAACCAAGGCTTAATTTCGGCGTGGCCTACTTCTCGTGTCCCACAACCACTTTGCGTCGCAATCCATAGGATCAAATGCCCGTAAGACCGCTTGCTAGCCATTCGGTATCCCACATGTACCTTCCACTTTTGTCCATGAGGCTGGGGTTACTGACTTTGTCATTCAAGGTTGGCTCCAAGTCTTTGCGAGTCAGTAGCTCAACTGCCATCTCAAACCATCGAATCTTTTGACAGTACCCACTCCCACAACGACTATGGTACTTGTTAGCTACGCCATTGTGCTTGCATGCATCAGCTAGTTGATACGCGTTTGTTGTGATTCGTGAATTGAAAACTGTTGAATGCATAGAAAGATCGGGTGTCAAACTTCCCGAAGCTACCACTTCCGCTACTACGGAAATTGAGGTCTTTCAGACTGTGTGGGATAGTTGACAATTGATGCAGTCCTGGCTGTCTTACATCCCTTCAATCGTTTTCAACCTGTCTTTTCAGGCTAGTGAAACAGACTAAGCAAGCACAATCGGCCCGCCCAAGAGCGATCCTTGGTTGTGGAACAAAGCTCGAGCAAGTCTCAATCTGGCTGCCTAGACATCCCGGCCGGGAATATGAACAAGATTTCCTCTTCCGTCCAAATTGAACGTTTAACACTTAACCACTTGAAAATTCATCATTCCGGATCGAAAGAGGACTCAGTGGGTCCTTTGCAAAGGACTGGTTACAACGAACAAGAAATGTTTCCTGCATCACTTGGTTCCCACATAATTATTTGAGATCACACGTTTCAATGTAAGACTCGGGCGCTCTTCGTCTCGTCGATTTCATGATCAAAATATTGATTCAAGCCTTAGACGGCGCATAGCTTTGATCAGTGGTCAACTAATTCAGCGTGGGAATAGACAATGGCGTTTGGGAATGCCGGAAGTCTTCTATTCTCATCATTCTATCAACGTGAAGGATTGCGATCTGCAGCCTGTTGTTCCAAGTGAACATTACCCTGGGTTAACTACAAACACGAGGTCTTTTAATAAAACATATTCCAAGCTAGGCTCACCATGGCGTGGTTTACACGACTCAGGGGCTCGGGAACTTGGATCAGAGTGTTTCTCGGCCGAAGCCCATTGCAGGAAACATTCTTATAAGAAACGAAACATGGTCGCTGTTCGATCAAACGATCTGTTCACCAGCTTCAAAGCTTTCTATTCGCTAAAGTCTCGCCAACCTTCTATTACCATCATGTTCCACAATTTCGCCTACGCGTGTGCCTTCGCCACGCTGCTAGCTGTACCTGCGACGGCAAGAGACGTTCCAGCTAACGTTAAGGCCTTTTACGACCAAGTTCGTGGCCGGCAGCAATGCTCCACCGTCCTCAAGACCGGCTTCCATAGCAAGGAGGGCGGCAAAGGAGGTGAGCCGACCGAGAAATGTCCCAAGAGAAAGCTTGCTCAGTGACCCTAACACGGACAAATTATCCGCATCACAGATTATGGATATTGTGGCGACTACTTGAGCAATTACAATGTCATCTACATCCAGGGTTCGGGAGGTCGCCTCGCGAACATGGACATTGATTGCGATGGTGCGCAGACTCATGGAGACGGCCGATGCGGTTCCTCCACCGACACGCAGTCGCAGACGTCTTTCAAGTCCGAAATCCAAGGTTACAAGGCCGGAATCAATGATCTGAACGCGTATGTTCATCCTTACGTTGTTTTCGGCAACGACGGATCTAAGCCCGGATGGCCTACCTTCGACCCAAAGAAGCATGGCATTGAGCCCCTCAGCGTCATGGCAGTTGTTTGCAACAACAAAGTTGTGAGTCCATCCTCTGTACCTTTCGTTGTTGATTTATCTTTCATTGGCGCAACGTCTAAACCTCGAAACCTGTAGATCTATGGTATCTGGGCCGACACCAACGGTGATGATGGCAGCCAAGCCATGGTCGGTGAAGCCTCGCTTTCTCTTGCTACGGCTTGTTTTGGAACTGGTATGAATGGCAATGCTGGACATGACGAGTCTGATGTACTCTACATTGCGTTCCCGGGCAAGGATGCCGTTCCTGGCGCTCATGGTGCTACCTGGGCCGCCAACACTTACGATGAATTTGAAGACAGCATCTCGGCACTCGGCAATCGCCTCCTCAAGAGAATCCGAGCTTGAGCCTCGAGTTGAACGCTGATGCAATCCTCCAGATAGCCATAGAGATGTTCTGCATGTAAATGCATCACTACAAGACGCAGAGGAGACTCCGTATAAGGTGATGGAAAGGGGTTATTTTTCGTGTAGATTAGCATTATTGGATGGTCTTTGCGGCCTCCTTAGGATCACACTCTCTCAAAAGAATTGATTTATCTCACATTTTTTGTTCGGGTAGCACGTAAACATAACATTTACTCACTACTGGAATTTGTCTGACTGCAATGACTTGCGTGCTTTTGCCATGATCCGCTTCAACGACATGATTTATATTAGTACTTTATGAATGCCAGTCGTGCTTAATAGCGGAAAATGTTCTCCCGCAAATATTCCCCAGTCAGCCTTGGCCGCCAAAAGATTTGACATTCACAGTCCTCACTTGAGCATCTGTGATTCCTATGCCAACGTTACTGAACGACATGATGCTGCTATTTTGGCATATGTCCCCTCGAAAGAACCTTGTTAGGTCGAATCTTGCAGCAGCACTAATCGGGGCACGAGAAGGGATGGACGATAGACAGGCGGTTGTGTGCCTTTCCTAAAGTACTCATCTGCTGTGCATGGAAATCACTATTGCTTCTCAGTGGAACATAAGTATGGTAGCTTGCTCCAGCAATTAATTGCAGCCCTGGACAGCAGGCATGCATATGATGATGAAGGATTGGTGCACGGCTTCAAAGTAATGTTATTAAGGGGCAGTCTCCAAGAAAAAGTACCGGTGCATCCACCTCCCAAAGTGCCAAAAGCCGTTTTCAGAATACAAAGAATTGAAGAAATAACGGGAAGGGTTTCCCAATGCAATCCAAAGCGAAGCGAATGTTAGATGATGTAGAATCCTGCATGTGGCAAAACGCTCATGCGCTGCTCGAATTTCCAAGCAATCTCTCATACGGAACCGTCTTCTATCCACAAACACCAGAAGTGGCAATAGTGTTCAAGTCCTTCGGAATGACACCGGCAGCAACGGCGGCTAAGAGAGTTAGTCAAATGTGGGAATCATAAAGCTCGAGAACATTTTGAGACGTATGTGACTTACCTTTGTAGGACCACCGGTAGTCATCGCCCAGCGCGGTCTTCCATGTCCAGAAAACCCAGCCTGCAGTCGATTTCTCGTAAGAGTAAACCTGAGCAGCAAACCACTTCTTGTAGAAGGCTTTCTGCTTGCTTGGGCTCCACCCATCCGTCGATTCAACGTTGTCTGGCACTGCGATACTCCACTCGCCAACGATGGTAGGCCCAGCGGCATCTGAGTTGCGGTTATCTTTGCAAGAAGTTGAGATATAGCTCTGATGCGAGACAGAAACGCTCGTCGACCACTTTAAATAACGGTGATCATCGAATGCGGTGAAATACGTGTCGCTCAAGAACTCGACCGGATTCCCGGAGCCCCAGTTTGTGTTCATCATCTGTATGTGGACGTAATTGTTGCGAGCCACGTTGAGGTCTTTCTCGACCTGGCGAATTCCCTGTCCCAGTATTATCAGCCCCTGCAACAATAACACCACTGTAGGCGAAGCGTAGCATGATGTACCGTGTAAGCGTCCTTGTAGAAGACGGACCGCATCGATTGCACCTTGCGATCCCAGGCGACGGGCTCATTTAGAACCTCAATCATACCGACGTTGCGGAACTCGTTGTGATCGTGGACAAGCTTTCTGAGGAACTTCAGGAATTTGACACCGCGATCATATTGGTAGTCGTTGTAGAAGCCCGGGGTAGTAGCGTACTATTGTCATATTCCGAATTAGAACGAATCTCTTCCTCGACGCTGGCAAATCAGTATTTGTGATATCCTACCTGGCCGGTGAACGGATTTTGCCGCTCTTGTGCACCTGGGGCGCCGTGGTGGCTGGATGACTGTCAGCTTAAGAACAACGATACCTAAAGATAACATAATGGTTGGACGTACCCCAAGATGATATAAAAACCACGGTCACTAGCCCAGCCGCAGAGCCGGATCAAGTAAGTCACAGCACCCTGTGCAAGTCAGACATTGTTTCTTCTGATCCCGCTCTGATAAGGATGGCGAAGGGGACCTTACCTTCGGGAAATGCTCCGACTTATCGACGAGAGACTCGTCAAGCCAATATCCTAGGGGGATGCGAATAGTGTTGATACCGTAACTCAACATCTCGTCCAGATCGGCCGCGGTGATCCAGGTGTCCCAATGTTTCTGGAAGGCAGCGTCAGATTTCGCCTGACCAAGCTTCGAAACGCAGTCGAATTCGGACTTGTAAGAACCACAGCCCATCTTGTTCCATTCGCCTGAGTCAATCCACGGCTCATAGACGAAGACTGAGCCTAAGTTGACTCCTCTAATCTTCCCAGAACTGTTCCACCAGCGTGGAGTGATACCACTCTTATTAGAGGATGTCCCATTTCCTTCAAACAGACTGTGCCCATCGGTGTCGACGAGCTTGGTGGAGCCATCATTTGGCAACCACGCATAGGTAGCCGGCAGTGCGCATGCAAGCACCAGAAGAGAAAAACAGACCATGATGGGATAGTTTGAATGCCAAGTGAGGGTAGAATGTGGTTGGAGATGAAGGACAGTAGAGCAAGGTGGTGCGGTTCACAAAGAAGAGCGGGTGGCGAATGCGATGTTTTAAGCTAACATCCCAAGATACTTAGAAACTTCCGCGAGGGGCAGCAGGGTAACCTTGACTCGTACACAGGAATGAAGAACTGCGCTCTTCCAACGCAGGATTGAATCCCAGCATCGGACGTCATGGTCTGAAAAGGCATCATAATCAACGCCCCTTTCAAATTTCTTTTCCGGAACTCCTCGTCGATCGTATTGCAACTTTAGTTGTAACAATACAACTAAAGTAAGATGCACATTCTCTCCACCTTGATGGAAACTCTCAGAGCGGCTCTGGACATCTTGACTATACCCCTGAAGGAACGGCAACCGAACACAATCATCCGAGGCCGCCATGCCACTTCAATTCCGTTTGAATCCTAATTTGCATTGATGGATAGCTGCCTCCTCTCATATATGTCTTTCATATGCTTCTGGTTTACTGTCGCGGTGACGCATCATTCTGAATGCGGCTTGTACCCCGGATCATCGCTGGATGTGGGATGAATGCCATCGCGCTATCTCGACTATTGGACCCTGAAGTTGAAACAAAGGTATGCACAGACAAAAGGAGGAGAAACACACAACATGCCGTTCCTTCGATGGCTTGAGATAGGTAGTTCAAAACAAAAGTCCCTGCTCCAAGTAAGCGCGGGCGGCTATCACAAACAACTGGTGATCAGACAGCATACTCCATTGAGACCAATAGCCGCAACTATCAAGTGGTTTTAGAATAGATTATCAAATAACATGGTCATATGCAGCGATGATCTATCGGGCCGAAAGAGGTGGTTCCTTACATGTGATGGTATTTAGGCACCGAGATTTCCAAAGGGGTGATGCCATTGTCGAAAGGGGGGGCGTTGGGAAGCAGTTGCTAATCTTGCGGAACTAATGATGATGAAAAGGGTATAGTAATCACCGCATACCGGCTGCCTAAGCAAGATGCATCGAACTATATTCCTGTCTTAGCCCGCACTCAAGTCTCCCAATACCTATTTAAGGTACTTCATTGCCCTTTAATGTAAACAATTTCGGGTAGATTGTTTTCCGAGGGAATGAATTGAATTAAGACGGTAATTGGGCCTATCGTAGGATGAGATATCAAAGATTCAAGTTCCGGGGCAACTTATCGTGTCCTGAGTCGTTCTCGGCACACAACTAATAACCCGGTACCCTAAGCATTCAACAGTTTATAATTCGGTCTTTAACGTAAATTTTGAGAGGGTGAACAACGTACTCTTGATGCCGCGCATTTGGGTGAGCCTAGGAAGATTCTTGAATGTTGATTCCATGTAATGTCCTGCTATGCTCATGGATAAGATACTGAGTAGACACATCAATGATGGAGCCCCCTTTCGGCATGATCCACCTTTTATAAACTTCCAGTTGTTGTTTTGACTTGCTTCGCTTTAACATTTAGGCATTACTCCATGTACACATCCTTTAATCTGTGTGGAGGTCCTGGATCCTGGGACCATCGGGTAGCAAGAGATCTTCTTTTATTCGACGCTTATCGAGCTTGATCCTGATACCATGAAATACTGTGGCTTGATTGTGCGACCTAGAGTCAGCTTTTAAATCCAATTGTATGTTGAAGAGATGCTTAAGACTTGCAAGAGAAAGATGTGTGTGCACCGGCGGCCAGCTAGGAGACCGCTTTCTGATCTAACTTCGGATGAAGCCTGTGGATCGATGATGCGATCAGTATTGAGACCCGAAAAGTAGTGGTAATTGATGCTTACTTTCTCCAAATCTAGAGTGTGCCCTCACACTATGCTAAGTCTTGCTACGGATTATATAATAATAGGCACTACGGGCGTGGTTCTGTGGCCCGCTTCTCCAACCGCGACGAGGCTTACTGCCCAGAGGTTCTGGCGTAAACTAGGCACGAGATTAGGGTTATTTATCCGCAGCGGCCTTAAACTGACCGCAGCTGACAAAACACCTGCGTATACCTAGTAGCAGCCATCGGAGAAGTGCGCCACTAGATCCGCCATTTCCGTTGCCTTCCCATGGTCATCTAGTGCCTATATCTGCCCAGGTAAATTCATTCTCTGGCATAGTTTTCATGTGCTGTCGCTGGCTACGCCCATACACTCGCTGGAAATAATTAATGAGTGAAGTTATTACATAAACACGTCAGTGACTTTGTTGCTAAGGCACTCATGATCCAAGGTAGACTGAGAAAACCGTTGGATGCAGAAAGAAAGCCATCAGGACGAAAGCATTGAGGGGACGTTATCCGTACATTGCGCTGCCATTGCCCGATTTCTCAAGTTTTTATGAGGCTCAAGAATCCTCGCCGTCTTGCACATACACACCGCCCATTCCCCGGGTCCGAAAATGGCCCTCATGACGCGTGGGCCTGGGCTGGATTTTAGCCTAGACTCACTAGGTTCATGCAGACGCCAAGTACCAAGGGCCATTGTACTTGCGCAATGCCTGTCTGCCGGCGCATTTCATAACCGTGGCGCTTCTTGGGGGTTGCATTCCGCCGCACTGGCTGGGTATTGAGGCGCTCTTGGTAGAAGCCAAGACTAATTGGCAGCCAAATACAATTGCTTGGTTGTTCTACCAAGGCTCTAAGGAACTCTTGTTTTTCATTTAAGGCTCATCGAGGCATACCCAACTTCAGGGACACTTGTTCAGGGACATCGCAGACCTATTCCTCTAGGAAAGTCTTCAATTTTGCCTTTTCGATTGAACGTATCGTCAATAATGGGGAGCACGCACCACCGACTGGCGGAGGAACAATACACCACGGACAAGTTCAAATATCCACTCCGGACGAATCTCGCCCGGCGGCCTAGCGAAACACCGCGGACGGCGTTGACTCGCGCCTTCGCTTTCGCGCTCCCCCCACTTTCATGGTCCGATAAATGCGGCGTTTCTCGGAGGTGGGTAGCGGAAGCAAGCAAGGTGATGGGCCCCAAAGAATTGCATCTAAGTAGGTAAAGTACGGTCTCGGTATGCATCCCGAGTCTATAACCCGTCGGGCTGGCTGACTGACACACCCTCTTTCAAAACTGAATCAAGCATTCTGCGCGATGGGTGTCCGAAAAGAGTGGCGATACCCTGCCGAAGTCCTGGATCTCTGTATGCTTGCATGATGCAAGAGGCTCTCGGGTCTTCGGCCCTTTCGCTCGCCTTGCCTTCGACCTCGACGTTTCATCCTTTATGATATCTCTGTGCAGCGACAAGAAATGGAAGGTGTTTCTGGGGGCGTGTTATCTTTGTGTTGATATGTCTGACGATGAGTGCATGCCAAGAGATGTCGCCAAGATCTCAAAAGCTGAGACCAAGGGACCAAACGACTCGGGACCACCCAGTTCCCACGTCAACTGAGTACCATATTCCATCTGAATGGAATCATCAGTGTTTGCGTTTCTGGGGTTTTGCGGAGATGAACAAAGCTTGGCAAAAACGTGTTAGCCAATGTATTGGCATTGTCAACGAGACTTGAGGTGATGAATATGCTTTGAAAATCGTAACCCGCGCATTCCATTCGCAACCACACGGAGAGCCCCCAAGGTCCAACAAGGCAGGAGCTCGGAGTGCTCCGACAACCCACTTCGCAATCTACAAACATACTGATGAATACCGTCGTTCCAAGTGGTTGAGATGCCTCAATAAGGAAGCCTTCACCTCGTTAGATATATCCGGGGGAAGTGGACTAGGGGTTGATGTAAACGGCTAGAGTGGACGAGTTGTCCAGGGTGTATCCTCCTTCTCCCCCCAAAGAACTGTCGACATGGCCCCACGTCTCCGCACCCTTCTCTCCTCTCCACGGGGGATACGGAAGGCATTGGATACCTCCGCACTCTCCCACACACGGCACCATCATGGAGTTATCTAAGCGCCTCGTGGGGCCATAGATATGTGTTGAGGCTAAAAGGCGACTCGTTTCTCCTTACTCTCATGGGAAAACACCGAGAGAAGAGGGACACCACGCGTCTTGTTTCCTTTCTTCTTCTTGTCCAACTATTGTTCATCCTATCCGTTCGTAACGGCGTGTGTGTGCGTATTATTTGCGGAAACGCTGCCGGAATCATGGGTTCCAAGAGGTACTTTGGCCTCACGGGCAATGCTCTCAACAATCTGAGAATTGCTCTCATCATCGCGCCCAGCTTCATTCTTTACGGGTACAACATTGGCGTCGTCGGTGGCCTGCTGACGGAAGAAGACTGGGTCAAAACGTTCCCCGAGATCGACACCGTCAACACAACCGGAGCCCAGAAATCGGCCAATTCGACACTCCAAGGCTTCATCGTCGCCACCTTCACTATTGGCGCAACTATCGGCTCACTATCTTGCTCCTGGACCGGCGATATCTACGGCCGCCGCAACATCATTTTTGTCTCCGCCATCATGACGCTTATTGGCGAAATTCTCATGGCAGCTGCTTTTGGCCTCCCTCAATTCGTCGTTGGCCGTGTTCTCACCGGTCTCGGCATCGGGCAGCTTAGCTCCATCGTCCCAGTCTGGCAGTCCGAGACGTCTGCTGCTGCTAACCGCGGCCGACAAGTGGTCATATCTGGCGTGTTCATGTGCGTGGGCTACATGCTCGAATCCTGGATCGATCTCGGCTTCTTCCAATTCCACTCTGGTCCCATTACTTGGCGCCCACCTCTGGCCATCGCCGTGTTCTTCTCCATCGTTTTAATGGCCGCAATTTACTTCTTCCCGGAATCACCCAGATGGCTCGTCATGAAAGGAAGGTCAGAGCAAGCTCGCGCCGTGATTTCCGTATTGAAATCGCTTCCGGCAGATTCTATGGAGGTTCAGGCTGAGCTTTCCGGAATCGAGTATTCCCTCGAAGAAACAAAGAGCACACAGGTCTCCTTGAAAGATGTCCTCAAGATGGGCGAAGACAAGCTTTTGTATCGCTTCTGCCTGTGCATGTCGCTTCAATTCTTCCAACAGATGGCGTATGTTGTCCCCCTTCCAATAGCTTCTCATTGATAACAAGATGACTAACTCCGTGTTCAACAGTGGTTCCAACCTCGTCAGCGTATATGCACCAATCCTTTTCCAACAAGGCCTCGGTCTCTCTAGCCAGTACTCTCGCATTCTCAGCGGCGGAACCCTGACATGGAAATTCTTCGCCTCTTTCATCGCTTTCTTCACGATCGACCGGTTCGGGCGACGCGCTGCATTCATCGTCAGTGGCGCAGGAATGTCTCTTTGTATGATCGCACTCGCTATCGCAACATCATTCGGGACCGACAACTACCCAGCTCAGATTGCGGCTGCTTTCTTCATCTTTTTGTACAACACGTGGATCCCAATTGGCCTCATGGGAGCGAATTACCTCTACTGCACAGAGGTTGCGCCACTGCGTCTGCGTATGGCTATGAGTTCCATTTCGACGGCGAACCACTGGCTGTTCAACTTCCTCGTCATCATGGTTACGCCGGTTGCTCTCAACACCATTGGATGGCGCTACTATATCGTCTACGCCGTGATTGCGGCCGCTATGCCGGTGACAGTGTACTTCTTCTTCCCTGAGACGACGGGACGGAATCTCGAGGAGATTGATCTCCTGTTCCGTGAGTCGCCTTCGTGGATGGCTACAGTGAAGTATGCCAAAACACGACCGATTGCCATGCCGCAGGAGTTCAACTCCGAAAAGGGCGAGAAGGCAGACCACTTGGAGGGAGCTTGAAGTTGCGTTAACTGTACATATGTATTGTTGTCATTAGATTGGCTGTTAGAAGGCTACACTTTCAGTGGTGTTAGCGAGTGTCATTCATGATCTCCCTCACGGATCCATATCAATGGCCTGGGGTACGTGGCAGAGCCAATAACAATACAAACTTTCCCCATTGTCTCCTTCACTTCTGGAACTGCGTCAAGAACTACGCTCCCAACCTTCATCCGCGTGTCGTTTCGGAGCACCTCCTCTATCCCGTAGACTAGTAGACAGCATTGGCAGATGTGCCTGTATTCTCTCTCATTCTGCATGTTTGATCCTTTTTGATAGACCCGTGCAAGCGAAAGAAGAATGCTCTGATCAACGGGGAAGTTATTATTATTCTGACAAGGACGAACACCTTTTACCATCCCGCAGCCGGTGGGATAGGGTGGTACTCTCTGGGCCAGAGTACGCCTGTGGATACTTTTGCAATTTTGGATCAATCGGTGACCAATAACCATACCGACGCTGGCAATGATATAATCTAATTTTCTCGTGGCAAATGGCGCAAACTACGAAATCATTCGGTAAAAGTTCTCTACACTTGCGAAGTCATGTCTTTTCTATAACAACGTTCATCTGCATTGCTTTGAACAACCTGCCAGATTTCATCGGTAATGGCTCAATCTACCAAGCTTGGATGTCACTTGATCCGTCAAAAATGCCCTAAAGACCAAGTGGCAATTGGCTTCTTTCAATTTTCAATTCGGTTAGGACGGAATTCCTACCGATTAGTAAAAAGCTGTTCTAAGAACCACATATGTGTCGGATATCTGGTCGCCGAACCCTAAGTATCCTCAATACGACTTCCTCTAAGTACGCAAGGACTCACTTCAGAACGAGGCAACATCAATTAAAATATGCAGATACTCCATTCATTCAAAGCGACAGCCTGCAAATATACTGATTTCCGCTGTATTTGGCGAGATGGCTTGTTTACGACAAGCTCTCGGATGACTCCAAGAAAGGTGACTTCTATGAGCCTCAAAATCGAGATCGAAAACTGAGAACTCCGATAAAGAGGACTCCAACACATTAAGAATGGTCTCTTGTGGATGGGCTAGACGAAGGCGCATCCTCAGAGTGCGGTTGGACTCATTTTGCAGGTGACATCATTTGCGACAAGGTGTTATTGACGGCTTGCCCAGTCATTTATCTCAGAGGGGACTATCGACGAGGGGTCATGCAGCCCAGATCTGAGATCACAGATGTCGCGTTGGGCCAAGATTCTTAGCAGTCCAGCCAAGACTCTTGGCTTGGCTTGGCCTCAACTTGGCTTCACTTGGCTGCACTCGGCTCCAGTGCATACGTCGATCCACCCTTCAAGGGCCTGAACCTAGATCCAACATCATATTCAAGATTGCCTGGATATTCAACTTCAAGCTTGGCCTTGTGACCGTCAGAGAAGCTCGAGAACGACGCGCTGGAGGTAACGAGAGGTCAGGATAGAGGTGAATCTGTCTTTGGGCATAACCTCGGCGCGAGATCGGGGCGGATGACCCCTAAAATGGCAAGGTGACGGGTCGTTAGTGGTATCCGCTTCATTTCCCATCCGGTTTTCGCTCCTGTCCTCTCAACTCTTTTGCTCATCCTAAAGTCGTGGAACGGCTAGTCTATCCTCTCATATTAATTTGTCATTCTTTCATGGCCAAAGGTCCTTTCTGGCGGAATATCCGTCATCGCCATCGGCGAAGACCGTCACCAGTCGCCCCGAGTCCGATTGCCGAGGCTCATGATTAGACGAGTCGTTGAAGTTCGTCTCATCTTTCAGGCGATGATATCCCCGTCCGCCCACCCGCCCGCTACGCAACTTCCACAATTGATCCATGGTACAGTCAAGGTGGCAACTTACGCACATACGCGCATCTTTTGGCGAGGAACTCGCTGATAACGTATAAGCGGACATGGCCGCAATGTCCACACATGGCCCTCCTGCGATATGAACTGATGCGACAATACTCAGTGTTTTCCAATGGATTGCCAGGCCATACCCTGCTCATTACCTAAGGACCTCCCCTTTTCGCACCAAATGCCACAACAGCCTTCCTAACTTGCTTAGTCTTGGGTGTGGGACAGCCGCCCATGCGTCTGAATTGCCGGTTTCCCCGGCCTCTCTTGCGGCGCTGCATCGGGCCCATCCGCTTCCCCTTGTTGCCCACATACCGAGATCACCAGACTATCCCAATGTTATCTGCTGTTTAACGGGCTCCTTTTCATTTGCTCAACGGCTTTCTGCCAGCTTGTAATATGCACGCTACCCACCCTCTGCCTTCCGCACCTCCTCGACATGGATCGAGTTCCCGAAGCTTTTCTTGAATAGACTCAAACTACCCCGACATGTCCTAGTTATGCTTGATTTAGCTCCATTTAGCTCCTGCCAGATCCAGACTAGCCAGGTTCATTGTGAACCGCCCACATTTACGACCGGCGGAGACGTGTACTTTCAGACTTGCCATTGTAATCTCACCTTCTTGACGAAGGAATTGCTCCGTTCGGGCTTATCAGAGCCCTGTTAATGTTGGCCATGCAACCGTTCAATCATGATATTGACCGACAGAACGAAAACAAATCGAGTATTTATATAGCCCAAGTATCCGCGAACAATGATTATAATGCTTCTCTTCACTCCCATCCTCAGTCATCCCTCATCCCTCAGGTCTCTAGGTCAAAATGGTTGCCAAGGCTCTCTCCGTCGCCCTTCTCGCTGGTGCCGCTTCGGCCACTTGCCCTCTCTCTATTGAGATCAGCAACGCCGAGAACCACACCGTCAACGTCGCCGTTACCAACACCGGCAGCGAGGCCGTTTCCGTCTTCAAGGGCAACACCGTCTTCAGCGACCATGCCACCCAGGATCTCCTGGTGACCGATGCCGGTATGTAGATGCACGCTATTACATCATTGGGGATAGCATCTAACAAGAATCAGAGGGCACTGCTCTTCCTTTCGAGGGTATCTTCGTCAATTACAAGCGCACTGGCCTCGACGCCAAGCTCTTCCAGAAGATCGCTGCCGGCGAAACCATCACCGTCCCTGTCAACGCCGCCAAGAGCTACAAGCTCGACGGCATTGCCGACGCCAAGGTCACTGCCATCCAGGGCTTCCGCTACGCCGTTGGTGACAGCATCCCCTCCGCCTTCAAGGACTTGGCTTCCTGCGCCGATGTCACCTCCGGCGAGGTCGAGGTCACTGTCGACCAGACCACCGCTGCTGCGTAAGTCCTATTCCAACATTCGGTGCGAATAGCGACCCTCTTACTAACCTGACATCTACAGGGACCACATCTCCCGCAAGCGTGAGGAGCCCTTCAACTCCCGCATCCAGAAGCGCGCCATCACCTATTCGTCTTGCACCACCGCGCAGACGACCGCCCTGAAGACCTCCGTCACCGATGCCATCTCCATGGCCAAGGCCGCCTCCACCGCTGCAGGCACCTCGTCCTACTACTACACCACCTGGTTCAAGTCGACCTCGGTCGCCTCCAAGGTCCAGACCATCTACAACGACGTCGCCGGCGTGCAGACCACCTCCCCCAAGATCTCCTGCACCGACACCTACAGCGACTGCACCGACGGCAGCGCCCTCCTCTACACCGTCCCCTCGGACAACGTCATCGTCCCCTGCCCCAACAACGGCTTCTGGGGCTTCCCCGAGCTCGCCTCCCAGTGCTCCGGAGACGACTACGACCGCGCCGGCAGCATGCTGCACGAGATGACCCATCTCTACGGCACCACCGACTGGGCTTACGGCCCCACCGCCGCCCAGGCTCTGTCTGCCACCAAGGCTGCTGCCAACGCCGACACCTACGAGATGTACGCTGAGAGCGTCCGCCTCGGTGGCTGCACCACCGGCTAAGCGTGTTCGTCCTTATGACCTACATGCATAGTTTGGTCTGGGCGCTGTTCCCTTTTGGGGATGAGAGCCCTTCCTTCTTTCAATGTCTATAATTCAGTTGACGGTCCGGGTAGAGTGGGAACTACTGCGGGATATTTATATGCCTAGGGGGAGCTTGATCGGGGAATGGCTTGATGTGAGCTGAGTGCTAGAAGTAGCCTATGAAGTAACGGTTGAACTCCTGAAATCTTTTCACTATCGCAAGTGATTACTTGACTGTGATACATGCACTCGAAGAAGAAGTCTTTTTTATCAGGTTGTAGACTAGGCGTATGAGATCCCGAATGTTCCCAGAAACCATGGTTCCTCAACAAGTAGTCCGAACTAGTATGTCTTTGTGGTTGTAGTTCCAATCGCCTTCCTGCCTGATTCCAATTGCGCCCATTCCCATTGTCGCTTGTTTGTCCCCACAGTCTCCAGAACTCATAGATTATCAGATCGGATTTTCTCAATCGGTTTCATTCAGCGCAATATCCAGACCATCCGACTTGTAATAGTAGAACGTTCAGTCGCGAAATCGGCTCATCCATCTTGCATTGGCGGTCTCCTCCTGCAGCAACCCACCCTTCCATGCCACTTCCATGGCGTCAATCGTGTTCGCTCTGACCTCAGACGTGCAGTATTAAACACTCATGAAGCTTTTTGTATGGAGAACGGCGAGATTGGCAGTTATCAATTGAGCGTGCGGTGGTGAAGTTGCGTTAGCCGCAGAGTTCACAGACTACTTTGGTTATCTGCACATCTTGCCGAAACCTTACTTGACCATTGAGCTTATAAGCTTTCTCTTTGTTCAGATAATTTTATGTAAATATTTGACATTGAACTCGGAACAGACGATCTTGTAGGAGCTTTGGTTGATTGTCGCTGCGAATTCTCCTAAATCCGAACTCTGAACAATCAACAGGGCTTTCTCGCCGAATGTTTGCTGGAAATAGATATGATCTGCAAGGTTCAGTCTTGTTTTTGTGTCAAAAAAGCTTAGTAAATTGCCGACCCATCTGGTCGCCAGCATCACCGTGAACCCGATCTCGTATTTCTTCCTGGTCGCCCTCGCTTCAATGTGCCGGTTTTCTCAATGCACTGCGGACGACACTAGAAGTTCGAGGAATGCTCGTGAGATTGTACCATAACGTCTTCCAGGCAGACCAAAGCCTCCATGTCACGAAGACGAATGCTATCAAATTGAACCATGAACAAAGTTCTTGAGCCCCGTTATCAAGAGAAAAGCTCGGTATATGTCGTCGGCAATAAGATAAGATTTTCGAGTCTTCCAATTGTCAAACAGATGAATGCTCTCTTCGGTTATGACGGTGACAGCCGTTGCCTGGGCTAAGCTCTCAAAGACCTGGAGCCAACAGACCTGGTTTGGACGACATCTCAGAACAGCCTTTCGATGGCATATACTCTACGTATATGTTCCTTCCATTTTCTGAGACGGAGCTCTCTCGATGCTTTCTGGACTGTCATCTTGAACGTGAGCGACGCAGAATCGCAAGGAAGAGAAACACGCTTCGTTTTCGCGACTCAACCGCATTCGGCTTTGGAAGGAATTAACAACTGTTCAGTGGGTCCAATCAGATGTGATCGCCTCCACCGGAAAATACCACAGGCCTCGTCATTTTCCGATGTGCTGCCAAGACTAATAACGAAGAGTGGTCGGATGGTTTCGCAGCCGGACTGGGAACGTAGCTATTCCCAATTTCCCCTGAAAGAGGAAATTCCCCAATTCCGGTGGCTGACTCAGCTCATACCGCGCAAAGAAAACGAGTAGAAAGAGAGAAAAAGCGGCTCTCAGGGGTAAAGCGGGGTGGACAAAAGCGCCCTTGCATGTGGGAAACGGCACTTCCGGGGCCCCGGGAGACCATTCGCGGGCGGCGTCGCGCCGGCCGACTGGGCGTTTATCGTGCGCGTGAAGCTACTAACGGCCGCCTATGATTTGACTGATGGAAGACGAACAGTAATGCAAGTGATCAACCTCAAGTTGAACGATCGGACAGCTGTCAGCTTGTCACCTCTCATGATCTGTTGGCTGTTCCTGTTCGCCCGATCGGAGGGCCAACCGCCGGTCGGCACTCCCAGGCCGCCGCCATGTAACGCTGGCTGCAACGCACGGCACCAACCAACGTCCAAGACGCACGAAATGCTTTTAGCCAGAGTTTCAGAATGTTCGACCTCGGCAGCCCGCTCAACCACTCGCTCTACGCTCTGTACGGCTAGTTGGGCAGACTGCTATGGTGTTACAGTGGTACACTAGAAAAAACAAAGTTTTTGCCCTGAGGAACCGCTCTCCGCCAAGGTGGAAACGAAACCGTGGGGGGAGGAGGAGGAGGATGAGGAGGACTCTGGAGGGTGGCACGGGTGGGCAATGGGAGGCCTTTCACAACTGCGCTGTTCCTTGAAAGGGGTTTGGCGGCTTCGCGAAAGATAGTTCGCGAACATGCGATTGTGAAAGACCGAAAGAGAGAGAAAAGAAAGAATGCCTTACTCCGATCGCCACAGTTCCCTCAGACCAACCGGCCAACCAACATGCCATAGACGAACCATCGCGTCCCGTCCAGTCAGCTCCCCAGGGTTCCGTCACATAGTAAAGTTCATCCTCGTCGACCAATCCCCAGCAATTCCACGAGAGCACGGCATCTTTTGTGAGGCATAACTCTGTAGACGGGCTTGTCATCCGCGCCATCGTGGCCACTCACTGCGCCATGCTCCCCCTCTCCCGCAAAAGCCAAGACTCCCAAGAGCCCAAGTTGGGAAAACCCCAATATGGCAGTCATTCGCCCAGTCCGATCTCCCGTTGCTTGAATGCAGCTGCAGCATAGCAAGACGTAAGTGCCCAGCTCCGTCCCGGGCGGCCCGGCGCAAGAGGCATCCTTGGATTCAAATGGAACCCAGGAAAACCTTCCATTGCTGTTGGCCCGCCCTTCTAAGAATAGGGGGCTCGTGCTGGGTGCATGTTCGCAACTCTCACATACCGACAGGGCTGCCGCCGCAGCAGACGCACAGAATTTGGGAACCCGTCTTTGCCGCTCGGGGCTCAGGGGTATATCTGACTGCATGGAGCACAAATGCACCTCGTAAGCCTATCAAAGAGAACATGCCGATATCTTTCCATACCTAGACATGCTGCAGCCTCGAGCACCAAAGAATCCTGAACAACTCATAGGGAGAAAAGTTGAACATCAGACCAAACCTTTGGGTTCGCGGCACCTGGGTGATCCCTGCCGGCAGAGGTCGTCAGCCCCCCTGCTCCGAGTCATTCGCGCGCCTGTTTGCCGTTGACGTTGGTCCCAGCGGCCCCAGAAAAGCAATTAGTTTGCTTCGTCAACATGGGGCTATGGTGAACTCTATTGTAGTGCTCCGTAAGGGAGGTGGCTCCTCAACTCCGTAAGGTGGTTGTGAACAGTGTTGGCCGCGAGGGGGTCGTACGACGTCGAAGTTATTTAAGCAAACCGAGCCGTCACCCCAATCCCCGAGAGCTGTTGGCTTGCTAGCTTAGCCTCGAGCTGAAAATCTTTTCCAACTTTACTACATTCTTTTGCATCTAGTTCGTTTCTACTATTCACAACAGCATCATGTCATTCGCTCAACTCTCGCTCGCGGCCATGTTGGCCGTGGGCGCTTCCGCCGCGCCTTACTCTGCGCGCAACGTCAACACCTCTGGCGTTGTCGCATCCACCTATTTCGCGGGTTACCACGCGAACCGCGGATTCCCCGTCTCCGCCATGCCGTGGGACAAGTACACCGACGCAAAGTATGCCTTCGCCGAGACCGCCGCCGACGGCAGCCTCAACCTCACAAAGTCGGCTCCCGACCAGCTTCCCGCCTTTGTCGCGGCCGCCAAGGAGCACGTATGTTACCCGTAGATCAACTTTACTATCCAACACAGTATCTAACACCTCTCCGCAGAATGTCAAGGCCCTCGTCTCCATCGGAGGCTGGACCGGCAGCCGCTATTTCAGCACCGCCTTCGGCAGCGCGGAGAACAGAACCGCCTTCGTGAAGACCTGCCTCGACTTTGTCGAAAAGTACAACCTCGACGGCCTCGATTTTGACTGGGAGTACCCCAACCGCCAGGGCCTCGGCTGCAACACAATCGCAAAGGACGATACCGCAAACTTTGCCTCCTTCCTCACCGAGCTCCGCCAGAAGCAGACCAAGCAGCTCTACCTCACCGCCGCCACCAGCCTGAACCCCTGGAACAACGCCCTCGACGTCGCCAGCACCAACGGCACCCTCTCCTCTTTCGCCAGCTCCCTCGACTACCTCATGGTCATGGGCTACGACATCTACGGCGCCTGGGCTGCTACCGGAGGCCCTAACGCACCCCTTGCCATGACTTGCGACGCCCGCAACAACCAGGGCGGTATCAAGGAGGGTGTTGAGAAGTGGATTGGCGCCGGCATCCCCGCCAACAAGCTCGTTCTCGCCGTCGGTGCCTACGGCCACGGATTCTCTGTTAACTCTACCAACGCCTTCGCCTCCCCTGGCGTCTTGAACGCCTACCCCGTCCAGAACAGCACCAACCGATTCCAGGGCAGCAGCTGGGACGACGACCCATCAATCGACGAGTGCGGTGCCGCTTCTCCTCCTAGTGGAACGTACACCTTCTGGAGCATGATCAAGGAGGGCAAGTTCCTCGACGAGACGGGCAAGCCTCGCGACAGCATTGCTACCGGATACGACAACTGCAGTCAGACTGTAAGCTCCCATTTCCCCCCCTAAGTCTCATCCTTTGACATGATCTAACATGATGAATAGCCCTTCCTGTACAACGAGACTGCTCAGGTCTGGGTTTCCTACGACAACGTCCAGTCTTTGACCGCCAAGGGCAACTACGTCACATCCAACAAGCTGGCTGGCTTCGCCATGTGGGAGGCTGGTGGTGACTACAACAACATCCTCATCAACGCCATCCGCTCTGCGGTCGGCTTGTAAGGGAGTGATTGCAGTCGAGCGTGCATTGGTTAGATAAAAGGTCTCAGCGACAAGTTGTAATAACATCATCCATGAAGTACATACCATTTCCTTCTCATACCTTGTTACACCACATTAGTGTTCATGTATCCACCATAAAAACTTCAAGTGGCCTGCAGCAGTGCCCGAAGCAGTTTACAATATTGCCTGCATTAGTCTTCAATCTTATAGTTGAATCGGTGCCTGTCAAAACAGGTTTGCCGGGCGCCTACCGGTGATGCTGTGTGATGCTTAACCAGCTCAAGTACCTAGATAGGCATGTAACCAAAGAGACACGACCACGATAGCTACCCAGCTCCCTCCTAATCCTCTTCTATCTCTACCAAAAAGGTTTACTCATCGCGGAAAATGATAGAAGAACCTTCTGAGTGATGGTCGATATCTCTCTCGACTTCTCGAACCTGGTGGAACAAAGGGCGAATATCAACAAGATAAGAAGTGTCTCGTCTCCATTGTCTTGCTATTCTGTAGGTTGATGCATCAAGAGGCAACAACCTAGGTAAGACTGCGAGGCTGTGTGGCCTATACAGCGCGCTCCTCATGAGCTCGTACCGACAGGAATCTCATATTGGAAAGAGGCAGCCTTTTCACGAAAGCTCCTTCCTTGAGCTGCTTTATGAGTGCCTGCCTAGATTCGACTCGAGTCGAGAACGTCGGCTGCCTCAGCGAAGCGAATATAAGATTGCCTCACTTTTTTCAATGAGCAACAATTCTGATCACCTTCACCACTCACATCACTCTCACAATTTCACAAATATCTTGCAACTCGTTCTTCTTCACCATCGACTCAAAATCCCACGACTCCACGGGTCCAAGAATCCTCCTTCTAAGTTCTTCGACACCACGCATTTGATACTTACCTTACTTTCACAACTCATATCCACCTCTCGCAGTAAGTATCACGGCAATCTCATCTCCTCAATTCTCACCTCGCCCGTCTTTCTCACTTACACATCCACATTTCATTCACTCTCATCACTGCAAGCCATCCACTCACCGTATTCTACCAGAAACTCGCAACATCAACACAAAATGCCTCCCAAGACCGCCGCATTCGAGGCCGCCGCCACCCTCAACCTCACCGACGGCGAACTCAAGCTCGCCCTCGCAATGATGAAGCACGTGGACCGCCCTACCACCACCGTCCTCGAGAAGATGGCCGAGGAGGCCGGCCTCTCCGGCGCCTCCAGCGCCCGCACCCTGCTCACCCGCGCCGCTACCAAGCACGGCTGGTTCGCCGGCGGCGGCAGCAGCAACAGCACCGATGATGGCTCCGGCTCCATCCCTACGCCCCGCCCCAAGAAGGCCGCCACCCCCCGCAAGAAAAAGATCTCCGAAGTCGAGGAGGGCGCCGAGGAGCAGGGCACGCCTACCAAGAAGCGCGGCCGCAAGAGCAAGGCGCAGAAGGCTGCGGAGGAGGCTGCTGCCGCTGAAGCTGCTGAAGCTGCTGCTGAGAAGACTGTGGATGATAAGGAAATGAAGGAGGATGGTGATGGTGCTGTCAAGGAGGAGACTGGTGATACCGATGGCGCCAAGGAGGAGGATGTCGAGCAGAAGTGAGATGGACGCAACCACATTGGGAACTTTACTTTGTTCGTTGGGTTTGGCAGGATGGATGGATGGGCGACTGCTCTTTCTCACTCTGGATTGATGATACTCTCTCTCTTGGCTTGGACAGTTGCTGTCTAGCTGCATGGTTGCGACGTATGGTACTGAGCCCAACATGAGGCTACATGGTACTGGAGGGAATTGCTTTACATGAGGTATTTCGAGAACAAGACATTAGTAAAGACTTTCAACTTGAATCGATTCGTACAAGGTGGACAGCTACCTTCCATAAGTCATTAAGCCATCGTGATTACCTGCGTAGAAAACCTCGCCTCTCACCATGGTGGATGGAGTGGCGGGTCACAGAAAAGTGCCCCCCTGAAGCTGCAATGATTTTAACTTTGACATTTGTCGAATTGGTTTGGTATTGACGTACATTATCTCCGCATCAGCGTAGATTAAAAAAAGGAAAACCCATTAACGCGCAGTGACGCGCTTTGGCGTCGACCGCGGGAGTCATGACATCATCTGCCCTCTGGCCTTCAATGCCATTTCAAAAGTCGACGCTATCCTCACCAGAATCACCCCTTAAAACAAATTGAGCAGTCGCAACTGACAACTGTGCTTACGAAGTCGCGATTTAATCCGTAAAGACCCAAAGAGACCCTCGCAATGACACCGCCAAAAGAATCCGCATCCAGCAACTCTGATAACGAAGCCGCCGACACTGGCACGAAGCGCAAAGCCTCGGAAGCCTCACAGCCCGAACATAACCAAGACGATGAACCCGACACGAAAAAGCCCAAAACTGAGAATCCAAAAGCGACGGTAGACTGGCTCCTAAGCGACGAGGCCTTCTCCCTCGCCTTCCCCTCGCTCCTACAAGGCCACGGCGAAATCGACTGGGACGAAGGCCAACATCGCAAAGACCCACCCCCCGACTCCGCCGGGAAGAAAGCCAGTACGACAAAGGCCTCAAAGAAGAACGGCAACGACGAGAACGACGACGATGAAAGCGATGGAAAGGAACCGCGCCTAACTTACCCAGACTCCACCCTAACCCCCTTCCAAAACCTCGTCGCCGCCCTCCTCCTAAGCAAACCCATCTCCCACCGCCTCGGCCTCCGCACCATCAACACGCTGCTCAACCCGCCCTTTGGCCTGCGCACGCCGCAGGACCTCAACGAAGCTGGGTTCGAGGGGCGGAGGAAGGTGATGTGGGAGGCGAGGACGCAGCATAAGGAGAAGACTGCTGTGCAGTTGGGGGATTTAGTTGAAGGGGTGAGGAAGATTTGCGGTGGGGATGGTGATGGCGGTGAGGGGAAGGAAGACGAGGGAGATGTTGAGAAGATGACTGCGTTGAGGGAGATGGTCAAGGGGATGAAGACAGAGGAGGCGCAGAGGAAGGTTGAGAAGGTGTTGACTGATGGGATTAAAGGCGTTGGACCGACTGGCGCTGGGATCTTTTTGAGGAGAGTACAGGAGGAATGGGAGGAGGTGTTTCCGTATGCTGATCAGAGAGCTCTTGAAGCTGCTGTCAAGTTTGGAGTCATTCAGGAGGGTGACGGTGCGAAAGAGTTGGCGGATGTGGTTGAGGGGGATCGGGGGAAGTTTGTGAGGATGCTGGATGTGCTTGTTGGGATTCAACTTGAGAAGAAGATGGACGAGGCGCTGAAGATGGCGAGAGGTGACGGGGAATAGGTCACCGGTATGGAATTTGTTGGGTTCTTTTCGTAATTTGTCAGCTGCTCTCAACCCGGTCTCAATGATATCCTTTCCCCGATTCCAGATGCAAATTTCCTTATATGCCGCTGTGCCTTACTTTGCTTGATGCTTCCTCATTTTCTAGTAACGCGGGTTCTCGCCATATCCCTGGTTCTGTTGATAGCCCTGATTTCCGCCATAGCCTTGGCCACTCTCATGGCCTTGATTACCCCCGTAGCTCTGGTTACCCCCGTATCCCTGGTTTCCTCCATAATTCTGACCCTGCCCTTGTCCGTAACCTTGGCCCTGGTTCTGGTTGTAATTTTGGTTGTAGTTCTGACTTTGGCCGTAGTTCTGGTTCTGACTTTGACCCTGGTACTGATCCGAGTGGTACTGCTGGTACGAGGATGGCGGCTGGTTCTGATCAGGTCGGTATTCCTGATGTGATTGATGCTGCTGCTGCTGATGTTGCTCAGGTCGGTACTCCTGGCTCGGAGGAGGGTTGTACGACTGCTGATGCGAGCTCTGTCCACCATACTGCAGCGATGGAGGCGGCGCGTAGTTGCCACCCTGGGACTGGCCCGAGTGGTGCTCACCACCAAGCTGAGATCCCGCCGTCGGCGCCCCGACGCTAACATTCTCATTGCCGATATCATCCGGCACGTTGATCTTGACCTTGGGAAGGTACTTTTGCACCTTTTGCTCGACAATGTTCTGGACAAACACCCAGCTCTCGCGCTCGAACTTGCGATGGCCACCGTTGACGACGCCAAGAATGCTCTCGCGCAGTGTCTCCTGCACCTTACGCACCAGGGCCCGGATCTTGTTGACCAGCTTCACCTTGATATCATCTCCGAATCCGCGGTCCGCGTGTCCGCTAGCGTCGCGGTCGAGCTGGGAGTCAAAGGGGTTTCCTCCGAGAATATTCTCCAGAGGTCGCTGAAAGGCGTCTGGCAGGAGCTCAAAGAGCTGCTTCTCGATGGCACCGAGGATCTTGCGGAACTCCAGACGGACTTCCCTGTGCACCTTTGCCAGACCCGTGCTGAGCTTGTCGCTGATGACCTTTGAGAAGCCACCCCTCTCGCCCTCGCCCTCAGGACCGTCGCGATCACCGATGCCCCGGCTACCCTCCTGTGAACTCTTCTTGTTTCCAAATAAGCCTCCAAGCCCCTTGACCAAATCCTTGACCTGGTCCTCAATCTCGCCCTTGACGCCGTCGCCGAGGTCCCGCGTGCTCGTGTTGCCGCGCAGCCACCGCTTGATATGCTCCAGCGCAATCTTGGTGAACTGCTCAGCAATAGGCGCATGTTGCTCCCTTAGCTTCATACCGACCTTCTCCTTGATCTCGGGGCTGATGACTCGGGCCTTCTCCTCGGGGTTCCGCGCGGCGTCCTTGACGGTGTTGCTGAGAACGCCGAGGAGACCGTCGAGCTCGAAGCCCTGGCCGCCGCCGCCTGAGCCCTTGTTCTTCTCCAAGTGGTCTTGGACGACGTTGATGGCGGAGGAGAGGAAGCCCTTTGCCCCACCGAATGAGTCGCTGTGGCTGATGCCGCGACATTGGGTCTCGGGACCGCCGCCTCCTCCACCACGGGCCTCGTCGGTCAGGTTGAAGATGTCGCGGAGGTCATCGCCTGCTTCGTCTGTGATGACGCTGAAGCTGCGGGTGAGCTTGCCAATCTCATCTGCGAAGGGCAGGGATTGGATGCCGTAAGCGTCGGGTGGTGTGTCGTTCAGTCCTCTCGAGCCATCGCCTGAATTCTTGTCCTTGTTGAAGAGTGACCGAAAGGCGTCAACAACCTGGTCTTCAAGGCTGTCGATGGTTCTCGTTTGGAAAGTGTCGATCTCAGACGCGATGCGGGGCTGGATCTGTGGAGCGAGAGAGTCAACATACTCGTCGACCTTTGTCATCAAGACGTCGGGGAGGCCACGAGAGTTGGACATCGTTGCGGTGGTAAGGGGTGGGGGATTTGGAGATGAATGGCTAGCTTAGGAGGAGAGGCAAGGCACAATAAAGGTGACCGTTGAGCTCTCGAATGGTGCTAGCTTGGGGGATGGTCGGCGGCCGGTCCCGCTTGTGCTGGTGCTGGTGGTGAGGCAGCCGGAGGCAGCTGAGCTGAGCTCCAGCTGAGCTGTCACGTGTGACGCCATCGCCATGGCGGGGTTGCGACTGCCCAGACGGCTGACGTCAGGTTCGGCACGGACCATCCGTGAGGGGTTGACAGTACGTATCTTTCAAGAGCTCTCACTGAGCTCTCACTCACCCACTCACTCCCTCACTCACTTATGAATCCCCTTCTCATAACACACATACCCATGAGGTCCAAGCGAATGTTGAGCTGTAAGAGACCAGTCTTGATTCAAATCCTTACAAATGAATTCATCTCATGGTAAAATCAACGCAAGTCTCACCACCTACAGATAATTTGAGCACAAGAGGGCCGTCTAAGGGTGCAAGCACGAGCCAGGCGATGTAGAGAGCATTGATGATAAAGCCGGTTGAACTCAGGTCTGATTAAGGCATGTTATTGGCATTCACATAGAAGCATTCGAGAGCCCTTCACTTCAAGGCAGCAAAGATCAGCTTCTTGTAGTCCTCCACAGCAAGCTCGAGATCCTGAACAGTGATGCGCTCATCGGCCGAGTGAGCCACAAGAATAGTCCCAGGTCCGTATAAGTAACGCTTGTGGGTTCCGTTCAGGCGCGGCACATCCGTGTAATAGTTCACCACGGTGGTGTTGAAGCCTGCTTGTGTCAGTTGAGGCCGTTCCAGCAGAACAACGAGGGCAAAAAGCATACCTTCAACATCATAGTCCAGACTCACTGGCAGACCATACCCAGTAAACGTCAAATTGACATACTCCGGCGTCACCTCCGACACTGCCTTTTGCAGAACATCCTGAATCCCCTGCAAATCCTCAGTCGCAGCCCGAATCGACGCCCTCCCCGACGCGCTCTCCGGAATCACATTCGTCGCGACCCCGCCCTCAATCAAACCCACGTTCAACGTGGTATTCCCAAACTCCTCCGTCCATGGCAACTTCGTATCCTGAATCTTGTCTAAAGCGCGCACGAGTAGGTCAATTGCGCTCCGGCCGTACTCGGGATACCCCGAATGCCCCGCGACGCCGTCGGCTGTGATATTGAACCCCAGCACGCCCTTATGCGCCCGGACGAGGGTATTCTCCGTTGGCTCGCCAAAGATGACGGACTCCCACGTCAAGCCCAGCTCATTCGCGGCACCCATTCCGTCGCCTCCAGATTCCTCTCCGACGACGTATAACAGCGCAACATCGCCTTCGACAATCTCCCCGCTCGCGAGGAGCTCCTCCACAGCGATAATCTGCGCTGCGACACTTCCTTTCGCATCGGAGGTTCCACGACCGCGGATCTCGTCGCCGGAGCGGGAGTACGGGATGTAAGGCGGGACGGTATCAAAGTGCGATGTGACGAGGACGCGGGCTTCGCGGGCGGTGCCGGGGTAGGCGAAGACGTTTTGGCGGGTTCCTTCGACTGTTTGGAGCTCGACCGTGAAGTTTGTCTCGAGGTAGCCTTTGAGAGCCTGCGTTCCGAGGGCTTCGGATTTTGTTGTCGAGTCGGCTTCGACGAGGGTTTTGTGTAGGCTGAGAAGGGATTCGGTGTAGGATGCGGCCCAGGCCGATGAGGCGAGGGCGCAGGTGAGTGCTGCCGGTGAGAGTGGCTTCATTGCGATGGTTCTTCACATGAAGTCGCTCTGAAGATGTTGAAGATTGGTGTAACGAAACCCAGTGCCACGAGGTATGGCTGGAAACGGCCCAAGGCAGTAGATATGAGCGTTGGAATGCTTTTATCATTCATGGCCGGTATGGCGCCAGAGACACTTGTGGGGTACGCACAATCCCAGTTCCGAAGGTCACGTCGGAGATGCACCACGATAAGAAAGTCTGCGTTACTTTGAGAGGGGTTGGTGCTGCGCCAAGGTGATAGACAGGTAATTCCAATGCGGGAGATCTTGGAACAGGCAATTACTGCATCGCAGACGTTAACACTGAGGAGGGGAATTCGTATGATCTTCTCCGATCCATCCTCATCGGTGGTGGTTTCGGAGCTTTTCGTTCAGTGATTGCCGTGTTCGGTCGGGATCCCACGAAGCGGGGTGATGGAGACCGACCGTGTGGCCCGAGGATGTATGGAGTCGGGAGCAAAGCCGAAGGTTGGGGAGGTCAAGGGGCCGATGTCAGATTAGCTCAATCCATCGGGCATTTGTCTCATTGTGAATATCGATATTTGAAAGTTCATTCTCGAGATGTAATACGGGCAGCCAATTACTGTACTCAATTGCTGATAACAATGTGTCGCACAAAGGCTTAACTACTTAAGGTACTCAGAGTTTCGTTGGTCAAGGGCTTGGTCACAGTACATTTCATAGAGACTGCAGAAAAGTTGAGAATCCCCTCATCATCCTCTTCTGTAGCTCAAGTTTAGCTCAAGTACCGCTCCATGGAAGAATAGTTAGACTATGATTCAATAGCTGAATTGAACTTTGACAAAGTTTGTTACTTGTTGGGGAATTCCCATGTTATATCCAGCTGCCCAGCCATATTTCTAAGCAAAAACAGCCCCTTGGTGACTAATGCCGAAAGTCTGTGCGCCGCCGGCACTGAGGATGGCTCTTTTTTGCACAGCTTAAAGTCTTTAATGACCAAGACTGTTCGTCCGCGGAAATAACTTCGTGGGCAGATGCGATTCACTGGGGGATTTTGCAGAGTCTCGTTGTTTCTAAGCGCAATTCTCAGCGCCATAAGCCTATATTTCAGTCAACCTCTGTTCTCGTCCATGGCGTCTGCCCACTTGAGCACGCGATTTCTCAGCAACAGCTTGAATGCCAGGTTACTAATCCCACGTGTTGTTTCAACATCTCCTCCTCTTGGCTTAAATTCGTCTTTACTCCGTCATTCATTTCGAGGGTATCACTCTGAGAAACACTCTCAACATCGTCGTCTATTGGCTTCAATCTCAGCTATAACTTCCCCGCGCACTCAATTGAGACCAATATCCTACACAGCAGCAATGGCAGGCACCATTCGGGCTCTCGTCTCTCAAGGCGACAAGACCGCCAAAGTCCAAGAGGTACATGATGTCATTCAGATGCACCTCAACTTGTCCTCCTCGTCACTAACCACCATCCCAGGTCCCTAAGCCTCAACCCGGCCCTGGCGAAATCCTCGTCAAAATCTCCGCCGTAGCCCAGAACCCAACGGACTGGAAAGCCACAGCCGGCGCTCCCGCAGGTCGCACCGTCGGCTGTGACTTTGCCGGCACCGTCGCCGACCCCAACGGCTCCTCCCTGAAAGAAGGCCAGCGCGTCGCGGGCTTCGTCATGGGAACCAGCGACGACCCGCCCCGCGGCGTCTTCGCGCAGTACGCCGTCATCGAGAGCAGCCTCGTCTTCCCCATCCCCGAGTCCGTGACGGACTCACAGGCTGCGGTTATCCCCTTGGCCTTTGCTACCGCTGTTCAGGCGCTGTTCCAGCGACTTGGACTTCCTGAGCCCACGAGCCCGAGTAAAGAGGCGCTTCGGGTGTTGATTAATGGCGGAACGGGCAGTGTTGGGTTGTATGCCATTCAGCTGGCGAAGGAGGCTGGATTGTATGTCATTGCGACAGGCGGCAAGAAGAATCACGAGCTCCTGAAGAGTCTCGGTGCGGATGTGGCGATTGATTACCGCGATGCCGACTGGATTGAGCAGGTCAAGAAGGCTGCGAAGAATAACCTCAAGCACGTCTTTGACGCCATTAGCGAAGTCGAGACTACAAAGGCTGTTGCTACGGCGCTCTCCCCTGAGGGCGGCCACGTTGTCTGCATTCTGCCGCGCAAGGCGAAGGAGGTTGGCGCTCCTGAGGGAGTCAAGGTCGAGAGCACATTGGTGTACTCGGTCTTTGGAAGGGCTCTTACGTACGGAGCCTTCGACAACATTGATGGTGAGAAGCCTGAGGATAAGAAGTTCTGGGAGAAGTACCTAGGACTCCTGCCTAAGTGGTTGGAGGATGGTTCCATCAAGCCGAACCCGCAAAAGGAGTTTGGTGGTCTGGATGATATCAACAAGGGCTTTGAGTTGCAGGCCAAGGGCGGTGTGAGTGCTGAAAAGCTGGTCTACAAGATTGTTTAGACTACTCGAAAATTGAGAAAACAGAGCAATTGAAGTTACTGACTTGTGACTTTGGCTGTGAATATCGCACGTGATCATATGAAATGATGAATATAATGTGAATACTCCTTCACCACCATGTTTTCCTCTTTTGTTATTTTTGTTCTACCTCAAGGTCGCTCTTGCCTTTGGAACGGTCCTCTCTTGTTCTTTCCTCGAGAATTAGGGCTTTCCTTTCTCACCACCTGGACCCTTTGAACTTCCACCTTTCCCCACCCATTCTCCCAATCTCAACCTCGGCCTCTTACCTCCAAGCTTTCTTTCACCCTTCCTCTCGTCTGGCTTCTCGACCTCGACTTCTCGACTCAATTAACCAATCAATCCATTGTCCTGCCTGCCTTTTCTTCCTGCAACAAGGGCTCGATCATCTCACCTTGTATCAGTCATTGTCTCCGGATTCCTATCCATCAATCGCTATAAAAGCTTTCAGCGATCTGACAAATCGACGTAAGCGATCATTGCTGTCCCTCTCCCATCCACGCCTCTTTCATATGCTGGCCGCCTTATCCCTTCAGCATGTCATCTTCTCACGGCCAATCTCTGTGGGAGCCGGTGGTCACCTTCACCGTCCTTCTGCCCCCCATTGAGCAATACTCGATGGCAGGGAAGGGCAGTGAAGGAGGCTACTGGGCTCTCCACGATCCCAACACTTATGCCAGCTGCAAGAATCAGCAAGAGCGACAGAAAGCCGAGCAGTGCCTGGCTTGTGGCAACCCTTCCACCCGGAAGTACCGCTGCCACTGCAAGGCGGCCAGGTACTGCTCTGCCCAGTGCCTCGAGGCTGACGACCTCCATGAGCGGCTCTGTGTGGGCCGTCAAGATGCCAAGACCAAGCCTGCCTTCAGCCTTCCCTTGGAGAGTCGACCATCTAACAACCACTTTCTCGCCGCGTTACTTCCTGTAGATGGATCCAACCCTAAGCCCATCTGGATCTCCCTTCAGATGGATCGCAAGACTGGCAAGATGCGTTTTGCTACCGACGAGATCACCATTGCGAAGGCGGCTGCCAAGTCCGACGATAGCTCCGACCCTGACATCATTCACGTCGGTCTGAACTCGATCGCGACTCCCATCCAGAAGAGCCTAGTTCACGGAGTTGACGCTATCAAGTTCGGTTCGTACAAGAATACTTCTCCCGGTAACCTCAATAGCTGCATTCAGAGCTTTGGCCAGCCTGGCTTCCTGGCCTGTTACTTCGGCGCTATGGTGATCTGGGCGTACGACCTCGAGACCAACGGAGCTTTCAAGTCGCCTCGCGACTTGGGCGTGCGCGACCTGCGTCATGCTTTGGACTGCCACGTCCTCAATTCTGTCAACCCGGCCGTCTCTCAGCCTAGTCGATTCATCTTCGAGGGTGGTGTCATCCCGGCTCTCAAGATCAATGATCTCTCGGATCGTTGGTTGGAGGCTCTGGGCGTTACTCGCCAGATCGAGAAGGTCCATGTCCCCGCCTCTCACCAATACTTCGAAGCCTTCCCCATCGGCAAGCTATTCCACCTCGGTCTTCGTTGGTATGTTCGAACTGGAGTCCCCATCGCGATTGCTCCAACGGGGGAGCTCCATGAGGACCATGAGGAGATCCTCCACCACTTCCGCCAGACCGTCCTTCTGGTTGCTTAGGAGGCACCTCAGAATACCGGCATGCGCAAAGCTCAGCTCCAGGTGGTTGATCTTAAGCATTCTTCCAGTTTTCACCTCATGCAGGTTTGCGGAAAGCAGATCGAGCCTGCGCACCTCACTGCCATCATCGAATACTTCAAGCTCGCCAGTGCCTCGGGTACCCCGACGACCGAGAAGGCATTCCGCGCATATTGGGACTACTTCAAGAAGAGCGAACTGATGAAAGGCCACCCGATGGCTGGAATCCCTTCGCCTTATAACCTTGAGACTGGCCATAGCCATGACCCCAACTCTGCGGGTCTTGTAACCTTGCTCCAAGGTTACAAGTCCTACGAGGACTTTGTTGGGCAGGCCCCAGTCGCCAATGAACACGTTGACGGTGGTCTCAACGCCCCGAAGGGCGAGATCGCAGGAGCCAGTCCGGTACAAGGCATCGAGCAGACACTTGGCTTCCCGGCTGAGCGAACTTGAAGCATGGTAGAACGCACTCTCTACTGTGAGTTTACTCCATCTTTCGTCTTGTTCAGATACTAACACTTCAGCACAGCAGACAATCAGATTGATTCGAAAGCGCCATACTGGTGGGAGGAGAGAGAGAGAGAAGGATGAGGTGCATTTCAGTGTTCTGGAGAGACGAGGAGTTATCGACAGCCGTAAAAACGACTAAGCTAGAGAGATACCTTCACGAGACCGGAATTGAGCCCCCCCTTAAGCCGCCCATAGTTGTCTTATTGCTTTAGTGACTGCAAGTGTTCTAACCCTTGCAAAGTAGAGGTATTTGCCATAAAGTGAGACACAGCCAAACGCCTGTTCCAGTACCAATCTCAGCGATTTGCTTCATACACCCTTTTCAACTTCAGAAATCGTGGGTGGTTTCTGGGTTTTACCCCCATAACATCCCCATCCAATCCTTTCCGAAAGATTTCAAGACCATCTTTCCTCGTCGTAAGCCCAGACTGCCCATCCGGCACCGGCAAGCCCATAAACTCAGCATGTCTATCATCCTCCAGAACCCACTCAAGCCCTCTCTCCCGCAAACATCGAAGCTCGTCCTCAATAATCCCACCTCGACCAATCTGAAACGCCTCATCACGCGTAAGGGCTTTTGCCTCGCCGCATTCAACCAATCTTATCGCAGTCGTGCCATCGGGCTGTCGAGGATCAAGGATATCCGCGTCATCGAGCCAGTGAAAGAGTAAACTGCCTGAACCGGAGTGTGCGCCCCAGGGATTAATCTCAATGAGCTTCACCTCAAACTCGGAATCGAGGACCTCTGCGTAGACGTCTAGGATGCAGCTCTTGAAGTTCAGATCAGGTGCGATTCGCGACCACAGGTGACGGGCCTGAGTAGCCAGCCTACCCAGCATCTCGTCTGTGATACCACCGTGATTTGGCTGATAGAATCTGCTCTGGCTGATGGCGACGATGCGGCCTTCCTTGACGTAGCATCGCCACTCGCTCAAGCGGTCGAGGTCGGTGTAATATGGGAAGAAGTAGAGCTGGTTATCGGGAGAATTCGCGTCCTGGCTAAGTTGATAGAAGAGGCTCAGAAGTGCCTGGACGGTCCGCTTCGAAGAAACAAGCTTCACTAGTGCTTCGCGAATGTTGTTAACAGGTTGAAGATTTCCTCCATCGGCGTCTTTGGGGCTGCAGTGACTTGTACGAATGAAGTACCCAGCCGATGTTGCGTCCGGGTGACCCTTGGTCTTCTGTTCCATCTCTGCTGCAAGCTCACTCAACCCGTCACTCTTCTCAGCTTTCGCCGTATCAAAGTTGAGCTCCGCTGCAACTTCTAGAAGTTGGCGGACCTCATCTTTGGTAAAGTGTTGGATCGTGGCAGGCTGGTTCAGCATGCACTCCTGAATTTGCGGGGTCAACCAGCGACCCATGTTGAACGGCGCGATTTCTTGCTCTCTTCGGGCTAGATACGAAGGAGTGAGATAGCCTGTCTCTGCGAGCCACGGTGCCAATGCGTGGTGGTTGTAGGAGTTTAGGCGGGCTGATGGTGAGGTGTTTAGCGGACGGCGCTGGATGACCATGGGTGTTTGCTCTTGAGACGTCATATGAGAAATCATAATATAACAGAAATAGATAAAGGCGGAGTGTTACGATTAATTCCTTGTCGCTGCACCTTCTTTGTCACTTCTTTATATGTGTTCATCACATACCTAGGTTGTTGATGAGTCACGCCGTGCGAGGTTTTTAGGTCTGAAGGATCTGGAGATTCTGGAGCTAGCAACATCAAGTAGCCAGATCATCCGCCCCCTTGGGGACGGTAAAATGACCTTAAAGCGATATGGGTGAGCAGAATATGTGAAGGCAAAGTTGACTTCCATCTATCATCAATGCAGGTGCTTTTCTGGTCAATTCTGCCTAACAAGTTATTTAGCGTTAGCACTCTGTAAAGTACATTCGTACTGGCTCTCGTGTGCCTCTTAGCCATATGATACTCGATCCATCCATACCGGGACTGATATCGTCATAAAGAGAGGGCCTGAAATCTGGAGGAATCCACAGCAAACGTTTCCCGTTACGCACGATCCATTCTCGATCGCAGCTAAGGCCATAGCCGTGGAAGGCGGGCATTGTTTCCCAGCTCACTGAATCTGGTGTATGCTCGAAGTCTTCGTGTTCTCCAGAGATTCTAGAGCCTATGTGGATATGAATTGAGCTACTTGTGCCCAAAAGCTCGCGTGTGTCGAAGAAGCCGTACGCAGTGTGTAAACGATTTGCAAATCTGGTGTCAAACCTTGCTTTGATGGATTTGATCTTGTCGCTTGTGAACGTTCCTAGAAGGGAACCAGATCTCAGGTCCCATGAAATAATGACTGCGAGATATGAACTATCGTGTATCATCTCGTACGGAGAAGAGGCAAGCTGGTGCATATCTGCCGAGAAGCTCAGAGATTTGATCATGCCGATCGAAATATGTTCCAAGGAAACCGTCGAGATGCACTCGTTTGTGACGACGTCCCAAACTTGAATGATGGCGTTATCAGGGCGTTTCCATCCTCTTTCGTCGTAATCACAAACAAGGCAAGCAAGTCGTTGGCCTTGACTCGACAAGGTAATCTTGTCGACACATTGGCGGCCAGAGTCAATGGTCTGCGAGCAGCTGCCGTTGGATGTGTTCCAGAACTTGATCAAACCCCCAAAGCTTGAAATAAGCTGGGAGGTATTCCGAAACGCCAAAGAGTCGATCCCACGTATCTCGCATGGCTGACTTTGTCTTGTCCTGATGTAGTCTTCATCATCTACTTCATTGTCCCAATGTCTTCGTTGGCAAACGCTCTTTTTAGAGTCACGCGCATTGAAGCAAATATGCTCTGTGCGACCACAGAGTTTCATCGTGATAGCACGGGTACTTGTGTTCCAAATTGTGATCGTAGTCTTCTTCCAAGAAGCCGATGCAAGTTGCTGGCCGTCTTGAGATAGTGCGATAGCAGACACGGACCTCTCATAGAACGTTGACTCTGGCATATCGGCTCGTCTGTCCCAAAGTCTGATCTTCTCCATCAAGGGGCCATATGTCAGGAAACGATCGTCATCAGCAAAGATCACTTGTTCCCTGCGATTAAATGGCCGGCGGGATACGGCGTCTGGCATTATTGATAAGTCCCAGACTTTGATCGTTGATGGATAGGCCGTCGAAATGATTCGCTGAGCGTCTGGGGAAAACGAAAACGAGCGTATGTCGCTTGAGTCGGAAACGTACATCTCCCACGTTAAAGCACCAGTCGACGTGTTCCACACGCATATGCTATCTCGAGAGGCAGCTGCCAGGAATTCTTTGTCGGCTGAGACGTCCATGTAATGGGGTACGGCTGTCAGCTTAGAGCCGTCTAGTACCTCGCATTTGATTCTCAGAATTGACTTTCCAGTTCGTCTTTCCCAGATCTGTATGATGAAGCACATTTCAGCGATGGCCTTGCCACCTGACGCAACCCAGTCTCCATCCGGCGACCAAGCCACAGTAACTACCTCGTGATCCGTGGATATCTGTTGGCGCCCCCCTGTCGATACATCGAAAATCTCGAGGAGTTGCTCTATTAATCCTAAGGCAATCCAATGGCCATTTGCGTTCAACGCTATGGAGTGAACTTCACCCTGTTCAAGATGGCACTCGATGGTGCGAGTAGGAAATTCCCCTTTCATACTCTGAATGACGATACGACCTTGAACATACAATGCAACCGTGGACCCATCTGACGAGATGGCTATTACCGTGGCGTTAGATGAATATGGTTCGAGCTGGTGGGTGCAGCGGCCTGTGTCTCTGTCATAGACCTTCACGACACCGTTCCAGGAGCTGGATATAAATGCTTTGCCGTCTGCTGAAAAAGCCACCGGCGTTGTTCCATACAAGTCCTTGTTCCCGCTGTATTGTCTATCCTCTTCGCCGAGGATACTGACTGTGTGCATGCAGGTTCCGCTCTCCGCATGCCAGAGCTTCACAGTACTATCGTCATAACTAGTGACGAGCCACTCCCCATTGGGGGAGTAGGCTACGGTTGAAGTGCATTTGTGATGCTCCGTATTATATTCTAGCGTCTGCAAACACGCACTCCACGTGCGTTCCAGACCAGGCGTGATTGTGACCCAGTCAGGAGCCTCATCCCGAAACTGTGCTTTCACAACGCTCTGTTCAGGGCTAAATAACAGAGCTGAAGTATAAAGTTGTAAAGGGGTGTTTTCGATCATCACTTTGTGATAGAGTAGAAATCGATTGGCGTCATGAACAAAGGCTGACAGACCTTGGTTGATTGCGTTTGGGTTTTGGTTCCGGACCATTGTTAGTTATTAAATATTGTATAATCACATAATGAGGTTCGACTTACGAACAGAATCTGAAGCTTTTGAATGGCTTGTACTGCCTGTTGCATCTGGCGAAGGAGGCTAAGTGCCTCGACCCAATGAAGAAACTTTCCTCTGAGGAACCTGTTGACCTCGAAAATGGCACGGTCGTCTTGTGACGTTGGCTGTCCCATTTCTATCCTTTCTTCACAGACCCAGTCAGTCAAGTGGTCAACCCAATAGGTGCAGAGGTACTGTATAGCATACAAAGGATCGGGTTCAGGGGTATGGATTTCCGCTATGCCTGTACTGGGCTCTTTCAAACCGTAAATGTCGCGTTTCAGATGCCCAGGTGTGTTGAGGACGTCCATAGACCTCCTAAAAACGGACTTGTGTCGCTCTGCAACAGTGGAAAGTTCTGAAGCACTGCTTTTCAGAAATTCCACAGCCGACTGATGCACAAAGTAGATCTTTTCTGCTTGGATCCTCAAAAAAGACCCACATGATTTAATTGCTTCCTCCAAATACTCCGCATCATCACTGAAATGTGACTGGAGGAGAGGAAGAAGTTCCTCAATCGTAACGGGTCGTTTGAGGATCGACATGACAGACAGTATCTCTTTATACAGGTCTTCGTCTAGAGAGGGCAAAGACCTGATCATGCGCTCGTAAAATGCATCGAGTCCAGGCGGAAATGTTTCAAGCACCTTCATGACGTTACGCTTTTTAACGCTACCATCAAGCAGAGCTTGACAAACTAAGGAGACCCAAAGGAATGTATCCTGCGATTGCTTTCTCAAGTACAGTTGAATCTCTGAGCAGGTAATTTCGTTGAACCTTTTGCGGCTAGCCAGCTGTTGAACTTCTCGGTCAATATACGAATGGACCGCTTTGGAGATTAGATCGTCGTGTAATTCGAGGGTAATAGTAGACCCGTTCGTATTGTGCTCGCCGAGCACCTCGCCAATTTCGGCCCACTTTCGACTTGAGATAATGACTCTAGCGCGAGAGATTTCTGAGAGATCCTGATGAAATGAAGAAGCTTGGGGCGGTCTGTCGTGCATTCGTCGAGCGCATCCACGATCAACAAAACGCCATCCAATCGTGGGTCGCTGAGCATTGAATTGAGCAGCTCATACATAGTGCCCCAAGCGTTGTGATCATTGAAACGAGCTTTGCCACCCTTCTCATACACGGCTAGAACCTGTGTTCGGAGCCAGGGATACTTCTGAGCCAGTTGAAGAATTAGGGACCGAAGGACGGAAGTTGCGTTGTCCAACGCTGGCACTGTAGCTTGGCAGAAAAAGTAGCACAGCGGACGCGGATCGCTTTTCTCCAGCTCTTCAATGATACCACAAAGAAGCATCGTTTTTCCCTTGCCTGGGTCTCCTCTGATCCAGAGCCGGCGGCTTTCTGGGTCGGTCCGCCAGCGTCGGAATTCCTCGACATTTAGGATCCATTCGTATGATGATTTGAAAAGGGTAGGGGTGTTATCCTTTCTGCGGATTATTCGTTCCCTATCATCTTTTGGGTTCGTCTGGAAGAGTTCGCGAAGACATTCTTCACTCTTGCCAGCTTCATGGCGCCTCTCTTGTTGTTTTGTTTGGTGTGATATGGCCTCTTTCGTTTCACCAAGGAGGACATGCATTTGAGGATCTAAAACGTGATTTGTTAACAAGGCCGTTTTCTTGAGAGAAATTGTTGTGCGCATCAATTCACGTTGATCTTTTTATCACATATTTCTCTCGCATACGACAAGGAACAGGGCTACTTGCCAAAAGCTATGACCTTCTCCTTCTTGACGTTGCTGGGAAGCACTCTGGATAGAAGACCCTTTGCATATGCCGCCGCGGTTGCGGCGGCGTAATTTTGCCATCTTTTGTTCTTATGACTGTCCGAATAGTCGCAGATGCCACGAATCACCAGGCAGGGAAAGTCTTGCATCAGTCCTGCCGCCTCCATCTCAAAGCAAATCACCCCAAGCTCCTTGCTCAATCGATCTCTGGTCTTACTATCCTTTACGACTTGGTTTGCCGAGGCGATGTTACCATAGTGAACCACTGGATCAGCGTCGTCTCTATCGACCCGCTCCACAATTTGCGAATTATCGCAGCCATCGCAATCATTGCAGCTAGAGTCGACGTTGACATGCTCGTACTCGGTTCGAAACAAGCGGTCGTTGGATTTGCCCTGATAAGTATACTTCTGTCGAAATGATGCTTTTCGGATCTTTTCTACCGCCTCGGAAAGGAACCCAGGGATCTTGCTGGCACCGCGTAAGTGACGAGCTTGGAGGCTGCTAAGAGCTGTCAGAAGCGCCGTAGGCGGCGCATTGAGCGACCCTGTCCGTTCAAACTCCTCAAGCTTTCTTTTTTTTCCCCGGTCATACTGGATGACACCTCCACTGGTGCCAGTAGGCTTGCTAACGACGATATCGCCAAATCGGATATCATGACCTGGCGAGGGCGCTCCGCCTCCGATCCCGACGAGTAGACCGAATCGAATAGATTTGAAAGTCCGGAGCATGTCTTTAGCAACTGTGGCGGCCGGGTTTGTTCCGTAAACACCATTTGGCAGACAGGCGATGACCACTCTATGGCCTTGTATTAGACCCAGAGTGTAGCTGTTGTGGTCACCATCATCCTGCTCGAATTGAACGTCGTCGTAAATTTCGTCGAGCATGAGTTCTGCGGCGGCCATCTCCAGAGGGAGAGCACAAATCCACCCGACGGTGTACGATTCTTTGTCCTCAGCTTCACTCATCCCATCTCCGCCCGCGGATGCCGCGCTGGACTTTGTGACGTTCATCTGCATGAAATATGTGTCGGAGAGACCTCTCTTGTATGAACCCGAGATGAAGATGCTCGCGAACGACGTATCCTGTGGAAAGCATGCACCTTGTCTGATGCCACTAGCAAAGCCCGAGGAAATCGAGTATGCTCAAGGAAGAGTTGTGTCAAAGTTCTGGAAAAACGCGGGGTTCTGCGGACAGCCTCGCAACAGCGACGAGATGGGGATCCTCCCTGCAGCTCTAGCCGTTCACGTGTACCATTGGTGACTGCATATGCAAGCAGCGCCCGCCAGCCCGCCCTATTTTTTGACGAAACGATTACAACATGTCTGGCGTTTTCAGCTCCTCCTCCATGATAATAGAGCTTTGAGGTCAAACTTGCGATGGTACATCGTGTCTGCTTTCACTCCTCTGACCTTGAGTTAGCCGCCGTGATCATCACACAGCCTACTTATTCCTCATACGCGGAACGACATGAGTGGCGGGAACGACTCCCACCCACCCCGAAGCAATGCCCAGCGGGACCCAGTTCTTGTGCATGCCAAGCGCCAATCCCTGCCTTCTTCCCGCCGAACAGACTTTGTTGGTCACCCGTCCACGCCTTGAGGTTCATGATCAGTCTTGGTTATTCCAGCTTCGAGAAAGGCGGCCAGGGTCCCTGGGATGATGGATCATCATCGAGCATGTTGGCAAGGAAGGTGGTGTCTTCCGGAAAAGCACGTCGCAAGTACAGGAAACGTTGATCGGCTCAGATGTGCGAATAAGGGGGTCGAGTTGGAACAAACCGAATAAAATGTGCAACAATTGTGGATGGTTATCCAAGTAACTACTAGGGTTGATAAGTGTGGTTTATTGTTATATTGTTGGCAGTCACAATAGCACACACACTTTCAGCAGACAACGAGGCACTGAGAAACATCCACAACGAAGCCACATCAGACAGGAAGACTTGAGCCATGGGTCAGGCAGGCATTTCTGTACCAGATCTCTATTGATCACATTCATGCATCATCCATGACAGTGTCCCATCAGCTCCTTCGCCGCTCGCCGCTTCCGTCTCGCCCATGCTTTCTATCAAGTCACTTCAAGTCCTCCATCTGGAAGCAGGATGCTTCCATTCCAGGCACTGCGTCTCCTCCTCCTACATGCCCACTGAGTCCTCCACAATACTACGGTCCTCGCAACGCTTATTTCTTGTATCCTATTCGTCTGGAACTATACCATAAAAATAACGAAGGTCATGCTGGCCGCGTCTAGGTCGAGACTGTTACCGACGCGATAGTTTCCTGAGCCCCATGGCATGTATGACTAGGTGGAGATGATGCTACCGATGTTGCCGCACATCACTTCTAAGCTAATGGAGCTGCTTCGGGCGGGTTCGTTGGCGCTGATATGTACGTTGGACATTGGGCCGAGGACCATGGCGAAGTTTGGGATAATCAGGATTTGCACCACCGTAACTCGGCCTCAAGGATGATGACTCGCATAGCATTTAAGAAAGTCGCCGCATACTAAATGTTCACAACTTTATAACGATCTCTCTAGTTGAGACTACAAAGACACTATGCTCGAGTACTTCGTTACCCTCCCGAGCGCAGATCTCAAGATCCTGAAGGCGCCGGAACTCTGAACATCCCACTCTGCACATCTTTCTGAGCTTTCAAACTCAAGTTGACAATCTCAATAATGATATGTTGCCTCTCTGCCTCAAGGTGCTCCTCCGGGATAGCGCTGCCATACCACACGGAGGCATAGATATCAAGATACCTTTTCCCAGCCACACTGATATCCCTCACGGCAATATTCAACACCCCAAATCGGGTATTTTTGCCGTCGATAAGATTCTTGTCACCGCAAGCCTTGAGTCGAAACTCGGGTAGCAGTCGCACCATCGGTCTCTGCGCACACGTTCGTGGGCTGTAGTTGGGAATACTAAAGTTGGTCATCACCCCGCCCCAGCTCTCCAGAATCCGCGATGTGCCAGTCGCTCCTCCTCCAGCGTAAGTAGACTTCTTGAAGTAGTGCTCCGCGTTGCCGCGATTATTAGCAGCATCTGCGAGAGGTGAGGCAGACCACGTCGAAAAGGCCCAGGCGTTGACATTGGGAAGTGGTACAAGGGCACGACACTCGACCGATTTCCACGTGGCTGGGTCCTGTAGCGTGGAATTGGAGTTGACGTCATACCAGAACTGTTTGGCATCTTCAATATCTTTGGAGAAGAGCTCGAGAAAGCCCCGGTCGCCGATGGAAGCTTTCCGTTTGGCGAGGATGTCCATACAGAGGGAGCCTGGGGTTGGGAGCGGGATCTGGCTGTTTGGGATGTGTGTGCGCTCGTTGAGTAGTTTGAGGACGTAGTGACATCGCTCGAGTTCGAAGTCGATTTTCTTTCCTAGGGTCTTTGGGCCTGAGAGGATGTATGGGTGACCGTCGAATTCCTCGGTCCAGTTGCCGAATTTGGGCCAGGGTGTGCTTTGCGCAGCGGTAAGAATAGCGAAAACCGCGACGATTATGAACAACATATTGAATTTGGAGGAAGGATGTGTGCATCTAAATTCTAGTTGTTTCGACCAAGACTGAAACTTCATGACTGGGCGATTGCCATTATGAAGCAAAGTAGCCGGCGGCGCTCAGATGCTTGACGCCGTAAACTGTCCAATCGCTCACGACACTTGCCGTGGGCTTCACAACGGTTCTTCATTGTCATTGCATAGAACAAAATTTGAAAGAACGAGTAGTTACACGATGCAAATCCCTATAGATATGAGCTTCCCCAAATATCTGTTGTGTCTACCAAGCTAGGCAATGGATGAGAAAGAAGTATTGTTAGCTGGTGCTCCCGCCCCGCGCCTCTCGATGGATTCCAGAGAGCAAACAGGGCGCGGGGCTTTTCGGTAAAGGGAATGAGACAGGCACTAAGAGCCTCGAGATGAAAGGAAGTTTGCGCGGAAGCCCGAGCAGGGCCGACTGCCAATGGGACAATACTGCTCAAGTTTCACCGCCGATCTGGTCGGTGCTACGAGGCGTTGTAACACAAGCGAGTCTCTGCAAGCCCTCGGGGACCCCAAAGTCTGGACCATTGGCAGAATAAAGATGTCTTGCGCGCCAAGGCGTCTATGGTTGCGATGTTGACGTGCTATTGGCATGCATCAATGTGGAATGGTCCCTTGTCTATCGGCTCGAAGGAATGCAATCTACCCTTTGATATCCTTCCAGCTCACACGTGTCAAGGTGCTGGTTACATTTACCAAAAAGAATGGGTGCGGAGGGTGTCTTTCCAAGAGAAAGACTCTCGCTTACATCGCTAGGGGAGGGCTACGCTGGTCCATTGCCATGGTCGAAAAGCCTCTTACCCGGGGCAAACAAGACTCAGGAGTGGTGTTCATTGTTCTAATCATGTACGTACGTGCATACATACCTCGATGTCTGCAACACATACTAATGACATGAATCCGTAATTGACAAGTGATATCGAATGATTTTGATCAACAGCTAAACACACATCAGATATGGCAACATGTCACGTCTTCGTTGCTGGTACATATCGAGGCAGTGCTCTGTTTACTGCAGCTTTGATGCGACGTCGAGACTCGCGCAGCCTCTTGGCTTCACCCCGACCGGTAGCGTTCGGCTCTCTCATAGATTCGTCCCCTTCTCTGACCTCCATTCTATCTTGCCAAGGGACGACTAATTGCTCATCAGTGATTTGGAAGAATTGCCCAAAGTACAATGACACGTTCCGCAACCTTGCTACCCCTTCACGCTGATTTGAAGCATTTTCAGCCTATCCGATCCAGTCACTAAGTAGGTCGGGTAGTTGTTCTAGATCCCACTCTCACCGGTCGGAGATCTACCGAAAT